CCTCACTTCGTAATTTAAAATATTGTCTGCTTAAACTAATTAGCATATTGAGGTCTCTCCCTCAAACCACTAAAGATTAAGTCCTGATGCGTAAAAATCAGATCAATAGACCAAAAGTATTAGCCTGCCGCAAAGTATGTCAGCCAACTGTAAAAATAAAATAGATACAATTATAAAAATAAAATAAAATTTAAAATGCGCATTGAGCCAACAATTTAAAAACCTTTATAAACAGAAAAATAAAAAACGTAATAGGAAAAAGATAAAAAAAAAATTGAAAAGATAGAAAATTGATAAAGATAGAAAACTGAGAACAGCCGATGCGCATAACCTCTTGTCCTTTCATTCTCCAGAATTTCTTGAAGAATATCCTTCAATAATGTATTGAAGGCATTAGAAATATTGAAGGTAGTAACCTTCAATATTTTTGAGGAAATAGCGAAAAACTAGTATAAAAACAAAATTTCCTGGAAAAGGATACGATGGAAATTATTATGGCTTCAACATTGTAAAAATCAATTATTTAAAAATTTATTTTTCAAATTATTGCTAACCTAATGTATTATTATGTTTCTAAACTCTATTTCGGAAAAATAAAATTTAAATGCACACTCTTATAAAAATCGTTATAAATAAGGAAGATCGAAAAATAATCTAGTCGAAAAAGAAAATGCTAAAGAAATAAAAATGAAACGGCTGTCTAAAAAAGAAAATTTGCGTTTGATAAGTTGTCGGTTTAAAAACTCGTTTGCCAAAATTGACATTTGTCCTACTGACAATAAATAAAGACAAGTTAACGGAAAACATATGGGGGTTAAAAGAGCATAGCATTAATCCGATTACCGCCTACTTAATTATTTTTGTGTGTACTTAACAATATTTTAGCGGAGCTATATCGTCGCTTTGAAACTAAACCGTAGTAACTCAAAAAAAAATCGAAAAATGAGATATTTGGGTCATTTTGTGTAAAAAGAAATACCTTTTCAGAGAAACAACGTGTTATCTTCATAAGTTCCATCAAATTAATTTAGAGAGCAGATAAATTGTTATCGCAATAGCGCGATGCACGTTCTTGAAAAGTTTGAAATCGCTCCCCTGAAAAACTTGCTTTTTTGAGTTACCACGGTTTAGTTTCAAAGCGACGATATGTCATAAAAAATACATATCACCAATAACTATGAAATATTAGTTTATTTAATTCTTTTAAATAAAATAAAAATAAATAACGTTGACATCAGCAAATACATAGATGACAAATATCACATTTCGGGACCGTTATTAGTCGATACACACAGGATTCACCAATGGAAGAAAAACACACACATATTTATAGTCACTACAGAGAAACGTCATTTCTTTTAACCAATCAGGAGTACTTCAGTCAGTAAGAAATTAAAGTTAATAACAAATATGTTTATTCTTCAACTGTTTTGATGCTGTTGTTTCTCATCCCCACTGGTCTAGCAGCGCTAGACCAGGTCCATGAGTCCATTCACCCTCAGGAAATCAAAAAACAAGACCGGGTCGCTCAGAAAATCCTCCTTTTCAAAATCCACACAGCTAAAGAGGAGTTGAAATGAATGTTGGGTTTAATGGCACAAAGTCCACAGAAGGACATGCCGCGCCAAACAAACGGTTTTAAAATAAAATCCTAGGTAGATGTATACTACAAGTTCTTCCCATCAAAAATCACATGGAATTTATAAAACTGAATACAACGAGACCAACGCATTCAAGAGTGAGTAAAACAAGATAAAATTTAAATGTAGTTAAGTATCATAAAACAGTTGCATTCAAAGCTGAATAAAATCACATAAAATTGTAAATAGGATAAAAACACTTATATGCAGTATAAGAGACCAATTGCGCGTAGAAACGCAAAAATGTTAGGATGATGGTAGTCACCTAACAAATCCTGCAGTGTTAAAATGGAACTACCAAAAAAGGTTAAACGATGACGGTTAAAACATGGGCAGCTAAGGAGGAGAGTCGGGCTGGGTGCACTGGAGGAATATTGGTTGCAGGTGGGATAGACCTTTCGCTGCTCTTCATACCTCATGCGCTTTACGTGACCACTGATGAATCTAGTGAACGCGGTCTGATCACCTCTATTAACTCTGAAGGTCAAAGCACGACCCGGTTTATCCCCAGAGTGCCAGATATGTACTGGGGGCGTATTCCAGACTAGCTGGACATCTTTCTTTCTAATGGAGTGAATTTCCGAGGATGTGAGTGCGAAACTTTCCGGCAGAGGTTCATTTGTGCCAAGTTTTGCCAGCGGGTCGGCGCTCTCATTCCCGTATAGACCAACGTGGGACGGAATCCACTGCAAATAAACATCCCGCTTCACGGAAGCTGTTTTGATAACAAATATAGTTGCACTGCTTCAAATTGTTTGCGATTAAAATTGGTGTGCGGAATTGAATACATGGTCATTTTTCAACCATAGAAAATATTAACCACTTCTGTTACCAGCACCACCCACCATGGAGTCCAACTATATAAACATACACATTTAAACACAGTTAGCATACAGTGATCAAAAATAATAGGCAGAGAAAAATTATTACGAATGAAATGTGTGTATTTTATAACAAAGTATTCCTTACAAAGTTTGTACAGTGCAAAAAAATAAACGGATTACCTAGAATACATTTTGATTAAATGTCCGGATTTTTACGCATTATGTCTATCTAATCGGTTCGAGTGCCTGACTTAAAACATGCTAATTAATTAGTACAGACAATATTAAGGTTACGAAATCAGACATATTTCTTTTGATTAAACATACTTTTTTTTTGTTGAACGGATTCAGATTTTTAACCCTATTAGGGGGAAGGAGGGTACTGCAGTTTGTAATATAAAGTACCAAAAGTTTAGAGTCCGAAATTTGTTGAATAGTTACTGAGCTATCAAATTTTTAAAAAGTAGATTATGTAAGATTCGATTACCTATTCGACCGATTTCGTTTACTGAATTACACTACCACACCATGTGTTGGCTAAAATATTAAAACACTTTATGCAAAAACTATGTTTCAATTGTAACACATTAACTGTTTAGTCTTTAATAGTTTAGATAATACATGGTGTAATTTTTCGCACTTTTGTTATTTGATTGCAGGTGGTGCCAATGGTGGTATTTTCCAAGAAGACATGGTGAAGAATGGGCGTGTTATGGTAGTGCTTTTTTCCACTCTTATTTCTAACTTGTTAAATAATTTATTCGTTTAGAAATGACTAAGCAGCAGAAACCTCAAGCACCCCAAGCAGATTAAACTAATGCTCTTTTAAAAGGAAATTAACAAACACCAGACATATTTAGTCTAAAATGTATTATCTGCCGATTGTTGAATTATCTGTTGATTGTAGTGCAGCAACTTTCCAGTATCTTTAAAAATTCGCCAATTTTTTAATACATTCATATAGCAATATGGTAAAAGCCGTGTTTCGAATCTGTATGGTATGTATACTTCGAAAGGAGTCTATAGATTTACATTTAAAATAGAATAAATTAGTGTAATGTAATGAAATGTTAATTTTTACTCATTAACCTAAGAATATTAATATGATTTAATTAATTTTAGTACTGTTCGCAACTGATCCAACTCAATGGAAGGGTAAGTCCCGACAAAACTAGTAGCAACCCTTACGAAAATTTAAGGTATATTTAAGGTTGATTTGAGGTATTTTTGATGTATTAAGGTTGTTTTGAGGTATATTTGAGGTATATTTAAGGTTGCAGAGAAAACAGCAGTAAAAATTATACCTTGTAAAGGTTGTAATTACCCTTACGAAAATTTAAGGTATATTTAAGGTTGATTTTGAGGTATTTTTGAGGTATTAAGGTTGTTTTGAGGTATATTTGAGGTATATTTAAGGTTGCAGAGAAAACAGCAATAAAAATTATACCTCGTAAAGGTTGTAATTAAGGTGTACGAGGTTGATTTATATATACTTCAGCTTGTTTTGAGGTTGTTTAAAATTCACTTCAAATCA